ATTAACATTCAATCATTACCAATCGCAAGATCGAAGGGTTACTCTTCGATTATATCAATCAATCAAGCACAAATGCATCAATTCCAAATTATATCAACTCACATAAGCATGAACAAATCAAGCTCGACAAAATACGAATCAAACAAGAATAATAATCTCCTATCCCTAGCAATCAGAAATAACTACGTATAACAAACTCAACACACATAATCATTACTCTCAAATTAACCATTATTCATAAATTAATAAAGAGATAAAAACTTACAATGAATCCAAATTTCAGTTGTTGAATTCAAAATACAAGCTTAATTCCTAAATACTAAGAAGAAGAAAAAGAAAAATAGAAGAGAAAGATGTAAAGAAGAAGAAAAATGAAGAAGAAGAAGAAGAAGAGGGGAAAAGAAAAGGAGTTTCGTGTATTTTTCAGGCTAGGGTTCATGTCCCAGAAGGGGAGAGAATAATTCTGATCGAAATCGTACGTGCATATATATAATAGATAGGGTCCACGGCATGAGAAATCTTGGCGCGGCGCGGACGGGCACGGTGCCGCGGCGCGGGGCTGTAGCAGGAGCGTGCCGCGGCATGGAGGTTCTCGCAGCGTGGAAGACGTGCTGGGAAGTGTCTGTCGGGGTCGCAGAGGTGCCACAGCGCGGAGAGAGGTCGTGCCGCACCACGGAGAGTGCCTCACGCCGTGGTGGGTAGTTGCGCCGCGCCGCGCTGGCTGATTCCTGCACTGCACTATTTTGCTTCAAGGGCTCGTTTGGGCTCGTCCGAACTCGGAATTAGGTTCCGTTTTTTCTTACGCGTCACTAACGAACCTCTCTATTCAGTGATTCTTTCATGACCAGATTTTGCCAATAGTACAATTCTCTAGTGTTTTTCAACCTTCAAAGGGTCGACATCTTGTTGGACTTTACGTTTCGGCCCCGTTCGGATTCGTCTAAACTCGAAATCGAGTTCCGCTTCTTCCTAAATGTAGCTAACAAACCCTTCTACTCAACCATGCTTGCCGGGTCAGATTTCGGGCTAAATCCATTCCTCACGGGGATTTTGACCTGCACACATCAAACAAGAATAAAAACGTAGAAAACCGACAAAATACACGAAAAACACATAAAAATCAAAATAGAGCAAAGCACATAATAAACTGCAAAACAAACTAAAAACTAATTAAAAGTCCTAAAACGGGAGAAAAAGAGAAGCAAAACAATAAAGAAAATCGTAACAAAAATGGGACAAACACACAACACAAGAAAATTCATCCCATAGCCTTTTGAGCTTATTGAAATACTCCATAACAGTGTTGTTTCCTTGAGTTAGGGTTGAGATTTCTCTCTGAATTTTGTACCTCAGTGAGCCGTTGTTTTCCCCAAACCTTTGACATATATTTTCCCACAATTCCTTAGCCGATTCTGCATGTATGAACGATTCAGCTAGTTCCTTTGACAGAGAGTGAAGAATCCATGACAGCACCATACAGTCCACCTTTTTCCAGGCCGCATAGCCTTCACTTTTCTCATCTGGTTGTGCGATTTCTCCATTTACAAATCCAAACTTTGTTTTTGCTCCGAGCGCTATAATCATTGCTTTTTTCCATGATAGAAAGTTATTACCAGTTAGTTGATGAGTTACCAACACTATGCCGGGATTATCGGATCCATGAAGATTGAGTGGATCCTGCTTCAAATCCGCCATTGTTGTGTTGTGCAAGCTTTATCGGAAAATAAAGCTGCAATTGTCGAAGATGAATGTCGACTCGCTTCCTGCAATCAAGCTAAGATAAGCTCAGATCTAATCCGCCATGATCGTCTGCTTTGGATACCATGTTGAAATCGAGATAGGCAAAAATATCCGAAAGTTAATTTCTTATTTCATAAAATGTTCGTACGTACAATATGAGGAAGAAGGTGTATTTATACAAGTGCCCATGCACTCTCATCTAAACGACGTCTATAGGTCTTAAGATTTTAATCCCACATCTAAGATAGAACGACACCATTTTGCTTAAAGAAAATATCAAACGAAGAACATATATAGTTTTATACTAAAACAAAAGAACAACTTCGACTTCTATCACCAGCTCAATTTGATCTCTATTCCAACATATATGTCATTACTCGGGATTTGCAGAGTGTCCCCAATATTAACGATTACGGCACATTATGTGCAAGCAATCAATCGAACTCATGAGGTTTTACATTATGTCTTCTTATTTTTTTGTTTTGATGTATTTATTTCTTTGTCTTTTCTTCATGACTCAGTCAATGGTGGCTAACATGTTGAAATTGAAGTTTGACAGAGTTGACGAGATTTTTTTAACAAAACGTAAGAATCGGATCAGAAGCAAAGAGATACTAAGGATTGACATAATCAGAGGATATTGTGATTATTTGAACAATCTTTTCTGAAGAGATTACACTGATCTAATGAGGCTAACTATAAATCTTTTTATTGTTATATATATCTATATATATAATATCAAATTAGTTATCTTTTTTATGATTTCTATTTGACATACATCATATTTTAAAAAGAAAAAAATTATATATACCTCTATAAATACAAATTAAATTATATAATAAACTTCAATTAAAAAATAATAAAACTATTATTTATTAGTTAAGTAACTGCATCAATCAATTCTATTATATGACGTGAGTAAAAAATTCTAATTTTTAAGCATTCAAAAATTTAGAATAAATTTCTATTTAACAAACGAGTGTTCTACTAGTCTTAATTATATTGGCAGTCATCCACATATATTTTGTTTCTTTATTCGAAAATCATTTTCGCTGTGGACCTAACAGAACAGTACAATAATTGTATGGTAGGAGCCTTCATAATAGGAATACTGCAGTGTTGATACGATTCATGACGTAAGAACTGATCAATTTAACAAATTAATTTATGAATTAAATAATACGTGTTTAATTAATGTTGTTAAGGAAAAGATCAATTAGTGACAGGTCGCGTGCTGTAAATGAAGCATTAGAAGACATGCTATAAACAACAAGTTTGCATATATGAGCATAATAATGTTGAATGAAGCTCTTATTTAGAAGAAGACATCTTATAAGTTATAAGACACGTAATACACCATTTGTGTATAGATGCGGACAAAGGAGAAAGCACATGTTCCAATACCTAGGCTTCAGAGCCCAGGTGGCTTCTACAACTAGTTATAATAGTTAATATTAGTATATATGTAATATATTACAATCTTTTCTTTTTCTTTTTCCCATTAAAAACCAAATTAAGTTAATTTTTCCTTTATAAAAAGGTGAGGATGATAATGCTCTCTTGCATTAGTTTAAACGATATTTTCAAAGTTCAAAAAACCTAATTTTGATACATTCATCATTGAAAAACTTGATTTTTTTGTCCCATTATGCATTTCTTGATTTTTATTTTTTTTGCCATTTCCA